CCCCAAAACCCCAAAACCCCAAAACCCCAAATAAGTAAAAATAAATTGGAATTTTAGAAAATGAATACTTTTGAGAGAGAAACTAACGAAGAAGATTCTACCAGCCCTTTAAAGTTTGCACCTCCGATAAAAAATATGGCTAATGTTAAGGATAGAGCAAAACTTTTGTAAGCTAATTGAGAGGTTCTATAATTCAGAAAAATGTTTACAGTTTTAGAGCTTTTCAAAATTTTCTATAGACCAAGAGCAAAGAGACACAGAAGGCTTCAAGGCTTCTTGACTATGAAGAAGAGTAAGCCGATGGATCTGAAGAATAAAACAATGAGAGATCGATTAGAAGAGAAAATGTTCTATTACTATGGCAATTATAGTACTAATGGATTTACTTTTGATGAGCATATGGGTTTTGAAGAAATAGGCCAAGGTACACACAATCACTTACTTTTAGAGCTATTCAATATTGATGAAGGCAATGGCTTGAGGAAAAGGAAGATAATTCCTAAGTAATGATCCAAATTGGTCTAGAATTGCAGACCTGATTTTGAGATGGAAAGGAAAATCTTTTGCAAGAGCGTTAAAAAGAATTAATCATGAGCATTCACTACTCAATCAGTATGATAGTACTGAATTTTTAAGGTAGAGTAAGCAATTAAAATTATAGAGATGAGGGCTACTCTCCAGTTCTCACCGAACAGAAATCGCCTTTAGAATTAAAATAAAAGTCTGAAGGACAAAAAAGAACTAAGCATAGAAATAGGAAATACAAAGAAGGATATTAGAGAAGTAATCTCCAAATGTATTTACAACAAAGTTGAGCACATTAGAAAGACACGCAAAACTTCTGTTTATCAAAAAGTAACCCACCTGCTAAACTGTGAGAAGGTATAAGTTTTTAATAATTTATTAGAAAGAGGTTATTTCAAGAAGAAGAAGACCATCTAGTTTACAGCCCAGACAGAGAGATATCAGGCAACTTAGTTCTAGGAGAATTAAGAAATTAAAAGAGCAAAAGAAAAGTCATTCAGTCTCTAAAAAGAAAAGACAGATTTATTTTGAGGGCAAAATTAATCGATTTGGGGATAAGAAATATAACCAAGAAATAAAAACGAATAAATTCTTGGATATTTCCAAAGTGATTGCTAGAAACAAAGCTTATGAACGAAGATCAGCACTTAGCAATTACTCTGTAAAGAGGAAAAAGAAATGAAGGAAGTTCAAGAATAAGAACACGAGCAATAAAGGCAAAGATCTTTATAACGACTCTTCATATGTTGTAAAAACTACGCCTAAATCTATTAAGTTGTCAGGAAAGTCTAATAGAATCAGAGATTTTTCAACTTTTCAAGTAGAAAGTTTACTAGATACTTATAATCCAGAGAATAGACCCAATACTGGAATGAGAAAAAGAGATAACAAAGAAGCCAGTCTAACTCATAAAGGTTCGATGTATCATAAAATGCTTTATCTGCAGAATGATCAGACCAATAGTCCAAACACAAGAGATAATATCATAGCTTCTTCTAAACATAGAAAGAAGTCTACACATCAAAAGAAAGGTTTTATAAAATGTCTAATCTTCTAGTGCAATCATTTAAGGTGAAAAAGAGTTGCTATAGCTTTAAGGGAATAAGGAAGAGTGTTTTTGAGAAGAATAAGATCAGCTTACTTTCAGATGGCATCCTTAAAAAGAGATTTTCAGGATATCCTTATTCAGCAGCATGAAGTCCTTTAAAAAGTTATCATCCATAATTATAATTCAATGCTGAAGCAAGTTAATGGGGTTTTGGGGTTTTGGGGTTTTGGGGTTTTGGGGTTTTGGGG